AGTCCTCACTGCTCCCTTTTGCCTCCCCTGCAATTGCCTTCATCCTCACATGTGTGCTGCTTGCTCTTTCTTCTTGGAATAAAGTTTAGGAGGAGGTGAAATATTCACCTAGAGCTGCTCTCTATAAATCAAGTAGGAAATTAGAGGCCATCCTGACTCATATTCCCTAAAACACAGGAAGAAGTACTTCTTTATGTTATTGAAATTATTTCTCTGCATCTGTTATACCAATAATACTTTTTTTTATAGCCTTTAGGCATGGACACTTATATGTCAGAAGGTAAAGTGTGGTGATTAAGAGAAAGGAATCCAAAAGTGTGCACCTTAATATAATAGCCACTACATACATGAGGCTATTTAAATTTATTTTTATTTATTTATTTATTTATTTATTTTTTGAGACAGTCTTTCTTGGTCACCCTTGGTAGAGTGCCATGGCATCTTAGCTCACAGCAACCTCAAACTCTGGGTTCAAGTGATCCTCTTGCCTCCGCCTCCCAAGTAGCTGGGACTACAGGGACCCACCACAATGCCTGGCTATTTTTTTTTTTTTTAGAGACAGGGTCTCACTCTGGCTCAGGCTGGTCTCAAACCTGTGAGCTCAGGCAATCCTCCTGCCTTAGCCTCCCAAGTGCTGGGATTATAGGCATGAGCCACCACACCTGCCAAGGCTATTTAAATTTAAATTAATGAAAATTAAATAAAAATAAAGTTCCTCAGCCATAGTACAGAGTCTCACTACAAGAGGTATGACAATTAAGTTTGTGAACTTGCCACCATGCACTTATGTTAGCAGGACTGTATGAACAACTCAGTAAGGTTTCATAACCTTGGTATATTAGTGTCTCACAGCTGTGTTTTTGTTTGTTTGTTTTTGAGACAGTCTCACTCTATCCTGGGTAGAATGCCGTGGTGTCATAGCTCACAGCAACCTCAAACTCCTGTGTTCATTTGATCCTCTTGTCTCCTTTGCTGTACAGAAGCTTTTCAGTTTCAGTTAAGTCCCATTTGTTTATTTTTATTGTTGTTGCAATTGCCAGAGAAGTCTTCCTCATAAAGTCTTTCCCCAGGCTGATAGCTTGAAGTGTTTTCCCCACACTTTCTTCAAGGTTTTTTTTGTTTGTTTCATGCCTTAAATTTATGTCTTTTATGCATCTTGAATCAATTTTTGTGGGTGGAGAAAGGTGAGGGTCCAGTTTCACTCTTTTACATGTGAATATCCAATTTCCCAGCACCATTTATTGAATAAGGATTCTTTCTTTCTTTTTTTTTTTTTTTTTTTTTTTTGGTTGCAGTTTAGCCAGAGCTGGGTTTCAACCCACCACCCTCAGTATATGGGGCTGGAGCCCTACTCACTGAGCAACAGGCGCCGCCCATGAATAGAGATTCTTTCACCCAGTGTATGTTCTTGGTGGTGTAACACAGATTAGGTAGTTGTAAGATGTTAGTTTCATCTCCTGGTTTTCTATTCGGTTCCAGATGTCAATGTCTCTATTTTTGTGCCAATACCATGCTGTTTTGATTACATGGCCTTGTAGTACAGCCTAAGGTCTGGTATGCTGATGCCTCCGGCTTTGTTTTTATTACTAAGAATTGCCTTGGCTAGACAGGGGGTTTTTTTGGTTCCATACAAAACAAAGAATTGGGAAAGGATATTTACATATTTTGAATTGGACAAAAGCTTGATAACAAGGATCCACAGAGAGTTTGAATTAATCAACATAAAAAGAGCCAATAATCCCTTATATTACTGGGTAAGAGAGATGAACAGAAACTTCTCTAAAGAAGACAGACAAATGGCTAACAAATATATGAAAAAATGTTCATTGTCCCTAATTATTAGAGAAATGCAAATCAAAACCACCCTGAGATATCATCTAACACCAGTGAGAATGACCCACATCACAAAATCTCACAATTGCAGATGCTGGTGTGGATGTGGAGAGAAGGGAACACTTTTCCACTGCTGGTGGGACTGCAAACTAATGCCACATTTTTGGAAGGAAGTATGGCGAATCCTCAAAGAATTCAAACTCCCATTTGATCCTGCAATCTCATTACTGGGCATCTACCTGGAAGAAAAAAATCCTTTACCATAAGGACACTTGCATTAGACTGTTTATTGCAGCTCAATTTATAATCACCAAAATGTGGAAACAGTCTAAATACCCACCAACCCAGGAATGGATTAACAAGCTGTGGTATATGTATACCATGGGATACTATTCAACCATTAAAAAAGATGGACAATTTACATCTTTTGTATTAACCTGAATGGAAGTGAAACAAATTCCTCTTAGTAAAGCATCACAAGAATGGAGAAGCAAGAATCCTATGTAGTCAATTCTGATATGAGGACAATTAATGACCTAGTACACGATGGGGGATGGGGAGAGCAGAGAGAGGGAAGCAGGGAGGGGATTGGGGGGCACGGTGTGTGGGACACCTTTGGGGGGCAGGACACAATTATAAGAGGGTCTTTATCTAACAAATGCAATTTTGTACCCTCAATGAATCCCTAACAATTAAAAAAAAAAATTGATCCTCTTGCCTCAGCTTCCCAAGTAGCTGGGACTACCCCCAGCTAGTATTTCTATTTTTAGTAGAGACAGGGTCTCACTCTTGCTCAGGATGGTCTTGAACTCCTGAGCTCAGGCTAGTCACCTGCCTCAGCCTCCCAGAATGCTAGGATTAGAAGGGTAAGCCACAGTTGTGTTCTTGTCAACATATGGCAGTGTCTTGCTGAGTGGCAATCATTATTGTTGTTGTGTGTTTTCATATGCCACCAGGAGAATGTCAGAGCTTGAATTACAGCAATGAACAAACATTCATAAATCTCTTGTTAAATTTGGTGGAAGTGAAAATGAAATCAGGGACATTAGTCCAAGTTTTGGGGGATAATGCCATAAAGAAAATGGCAGTGTACAAATAGAGTAAACATTTTTCTGAAGGAAGAGAAAACATCACTGATAAAGAGAGGTCAGGGTGGCAGTAACTAACAGAACTAATGAAAACAATGAAAAAATTTGTCAAATTGTGTATCAAAATTATCGACTAAATGTGAGCAGCTTAGCAAATCAAATAAATATTGATAAACAAACAGGGAATCTTCACTGACAATGTCAACCAACAAAATATGGTTCTTGCATCACGACAATACACCAGCTCACACAGCACTGTCTGTGAGGGAGTTTTTAGCCAGTACTGGAACACCCTCCCTACTCACCTGATCTGGCCCCCAATGACTTTTTTCTTTACCTGAAGATAAAAGAAATGCTGAAAGAAGGACTTTTTTTTTTTTTTTTTTTGAGACAGTCTCATCACGTTGTCCTCTGTAGAGTGCCGTGGCAACCTCAAACTCTTGGGCTTATCCAATTCTCTTGCTTTAGCCTCCCAAGTAGCTGGGACTACAGGCGCCTACCACAATGCCTGGCTACGAAAGGAGGACATTTTGATGGCCTTCAGGACACCAACGGTAATATGAGGAGTGCTCTGACAGTGATTCCAGAAAGAGTTCCAAAATTGGTTTGGAGGGTAGGCAAGGCTCTGGCATCAGTGCTCCCCAAAGGGGTACTTGGAAGGTGATCATAGCAATATTCAGCACTCAAGTATGTAGCACTTTTTCTAGGATGAGTTCTCAAGGTTAATTGCCAGAGCTTGTAAAACTATGGTAGCCACACGTTTTTTTCCCAAAGCCTTTAAAATACATTAAGTTAAATTAATTAAATTTAAATTACAGAATTTAATATGTCTACTTCTTGACAGTAAACATATTTTAGGTAAACATAAGCTTTCTAAATTTATAAGTATTTCATTGCAAATATTAATACTCTAAACTACTCCTCTTTACATAAAGGAGAAACTTGAAATCCTGTACTCTCGGAAGAAACAGAGGAAAAGCAATAAATTAAGAGCAAACATTCCCATTTCTCCACTTTCCTTCAGTGATCTAACATCTTATGTAGACTAATTACAAAAAGAAATTTTAGAGTCCATTGAATTTAAGCACAAGATACAGTTAAAATTTCCCCAAGGGTTCTAAATATTTGATGTTTATAAGTGTGAATAAATAATAGGTATAGGGCAGATTCTAGAACTAACTAAAGGATGAAAAGAAATTGACATGAATAGCCAAAAGTCAGTAAATATAAATTTCACTATTGGGTTTGCTCCAAGCTTTCTTTTCTACTCTGGATCTGCTTCTTTTGTGTCCAAGGCTTTCTCCAGGATAGCAAACAGCTTAAGGTTATCATGGCCTTGGTCATGGGAAGCACTTATTTTGGAAATAAAAACACTTTCTTTCCTCTTCACCAAATATTGAAGTTGCCTTTTTTGCTGTTTGCGTCTTTTAACCAGTCATCAGCTCCCTCATGTAAGAAAAGTTACGAGGCAAGAAAAGTTACGTCGGCCGTCTCAGTGTAAAAACTGGTAAATAAAGGGAACATCACAAACGTGTCATGACCAAGGTACAACTCTACAAGTGTCTTTGGCCATGGCTTCATTTTTTCAATCATGCCCTGAAATAAAACCACTATTGAACCAAGAATATCTTCTCAGGTAGTGCCCATAGCTCAGTGGGTAGGGCACTGGTCACATACACCGAGGCTGGTGGGTTCCAGCCCGGCCAGGGCCAGGTAAACAACAATGACAACTGCAACCAAAACATAGCAGGGAGTTGTGGTGGGTGCCTGTAGTCCCAGCTACTCAGAAGGCTAAGGCAAGAGAATCGCTTAAGCCCAAGAGTTGGAGGTTGCTATGAGCTGTGATGCCATGGCACTCTACCGAGGGGGACATACTGAGACTCTATCTCAAAAATAAATAAATAAATAATCTCTTCTCACCTAAGAGAGGCCTTTCAGGAACAGACGCTTCAGACAAGTTTGATGTGGTACATAGATACTTCAGAAGAGTGGACCATAAAAGAGGAAGATGTGAACAAAGAAAATTAACACAACATACCGTTCACTTGAATAGTCATTGGTATAAATTCCTTATCATTCTTTTTATTATTTAAAAATTACGATATTTTCAGTCTTTTGCTTTCCTTTTCCACATCGTCTGTAATGTTGTATAGTTTTCTGGAGTTTTGAACCAGGGACACCAAACTCTCCCTAAAGTCACTAGTACCATGATCTCTGCCAACATTTTGAAGCTCAGCAAACAAAGCCAATGTCTGTTTGAGTTTGGCCTGAACAATTTTTTGCTCTTCTAATTCTGCAAGAAGGGTTTGCTTAGTATATAATTCAGTCTTATACTTTTCCTGTAACTGGTCAATTTCTTTCTGGAGATGTTGAAATTCTTCCTCACTATAAGGATGTATCTCCTTATATTTATCTTCAGGAAGCAAGATGTTTGGAATACACAAAATCAGCTGCAAAAACAGCTGCTCCATTTTGCCAAAAAGGTTATCAAAACATCCTTTCATGAAGCTAAGAAACTTCTCTGTGCATCTGTGAATTTGGACTGGGCTGATCTCACAGTCTGGGATGCCATCCAGATTCTTCAGAATAACCCATTCAACAGCCTGCATCACTTCGAATAGGTAGTCTTGAAATGCAATACAGATCCTGAGCATGCACATTTGTGGGGTGAAGCCAAAGAACTGGGCCTCATAGGTCATTGGATCAACAGACATCTTGATTTATTTTGCTATGTTATTTTTTATTGTGAGCAATCACAGCAACCATGAGGGTGATGAATTCAACCGCACACCAACTTCCCACTACTTTCTTTAAACCACTGCTAGCTGTCAGAGATAGTTGATGCTGCTGGCTCTCCCAAATTCCGACTGATTAGTGCCTCAGCAAATGAAAGCATATGCAGGATAATATCACATTCCTGATTTGGTAGCCACACTTTTGGAACTCAATAGCTGTGTGTAAATGTCAGCTCCTACGTTGGATGGTATACTACATATTCACGGCTACAGGAATGTCCAGGGGTCCATTGTTCAGGGACAGCCTACAGTGAGACTTCCACATTCAAAGCCCTGCTTTGTCGTTCCCTAGCTAGATGACTTTGGGCAGATTATTCTACTTCTCTCTACCTCAGCTTCTTCATCTGCAAAATGGATTTAGTGATAGTACTGATATCAAAGGGCTGTTGTGAGAATCCTACGACTTGATGTATGCAGAGCTTTTGGAAAGGTGTGCATAGTGGAGGGTTATTAATATTATAATCAGCCTTTGATATTTATTTCATGTTATCACACTATCATGTATTAGCATAATTATACTATTATAATACAGCATTAACATGTATTATTGATATTAATATCATTATTTATCTTACTACAATAATGTTCTTTTGTTTGTTTGTTTTGTTTTTGAGATAGAGTCTTACTTTGTCACCCTCAATAGAGTGCTGTGGTGTCACAGCTCACAGCAACCTCCACGTCTTGGGCTTAAGTAATTCTCTTGCCTTAGCCTTCCAAGTAGCTGGAACTATAGGCACTCACCACAATGCCCAGCTATTTTTTTGTTGTAGTTGTCATTGTTATTTAGCAGGCCCTGCTAGGTTCAAACTGGCAGCCCAGATGTCTATGGCTGGCGCCCTAACCACTGAGCTATGGGCGCCAAGTCAATAATGATTATTGTTATTTTTGCACCTCCATGGTTTAGATGAGCCTCCCATTACTTTGAATCCTCACATCTCGCTGGGCATAGTGGCTCACACTTATAATCTTTGCACCCTGTGAGGCCGAGGCATGTAAATTTCTTAAGCTCAGGAGTTCAAGACCAGCCTGAACAAGAGTAAGACCCCATCTCTATTAAAAAATAGAACATACATGCCCATCAACCTAGGAATGTATTAACAAACTGTGGTATACGTATACCCTAAAAATATGGAGACGTCACACCTTTTATATTAACCTGGATGAAGGTAAACACATTCTTCTTAGTAAAGTATCATTAGAATGGAAAATCAAGTCTAGCATGGCGGCTCACACCTGTAATCCTAGCACTCTGGGAAGCTGAGGTGGGTGGATCACCTGAGCTCACAAGTTTGAGACCAGCCTGAGACAGAGCAAGACCCTGTCTCTAAAAATAGTTGGGCATTGTGGTAGGAACCTGTAGTCCCAGCTACTCGGGAGGCTGAGGCAAGAGAATCTCTTAAGCCCAAGAGTTTAAGGTTGCTGTGAGCTGTGACACCACATCACTCTACCGAGGGCAACATAGTGAGACTCTGTCTCAAAAAAAAAAAAAGAAAGAAAGAAAAATTCTTAGCTTTCTTCATTGTTCCCATATTTAATATCCCTCTTGTGAAACCTAAGGCTATTTTTTGAGATACCTTCCAGGCTTTACATTCCAGTGGATTGGCTGACCCACCCATGCCAAGGAACTAACTCAGCTAGTCATGTGGCCTCCACCTAGGAACTGACTCAGCACAAGAATACAATTTCTATACCCCTGTGGTTCCACCTGAAATCCAGCCAATCAGCAGACCACACTGCCTAGCTCTTTGCCTGCCAAACTGTCTTTAAAAACATTTTCTCACAAATGATTGAGGAGGTATATTTGAGAACTTCCTCCCCACTCCTTGCATGGCACCTGCTGTAATGTGAAACTCTTTCCCTGCTGTGATCCCTGCTATCTTAGTGTATTGGCTTCTCACTAAGCAGCAGGCAATGAACCTGGTAAGGTTGCAACAAAGATGTTCTAAGGTTATTAGACTCTAATGCCCACGCCTGCCCACTTGACCTTGAGCTTTCTTGAGGCAAAGGCCCTGGGGTAGACATTGCTGTGTGCACCTGACATGTGATACATTGGTCAGTTTTTGTGGCATCAGGATATGGAGAAGAGAGGGATGTGATAGGAAGGGCTGAGAATTAAAGCCAGAAGAGTAGATAAGGGCCAATCAGATATTAAGCAGCAGCCTAAGAATTTGCAGTTCTATTTAGGAAGCAAAAGAGTGCTCTAAAAAAGCATTCTGATCTGAAACAGCCTGTCCCTTACTCCTCCTTCTAAATATCTTGCTTAGAGAAATCCTTAAAGGTTTGTTTGAGGATTAAATGTGTTCATATGTGCAGAAGGGCTTAGACTGGGAAACATCACAGTTAGTGCTTAAACACAGCTGTTGTTGGTGATAGTAATTGCATCCTTGTCTTCACAGAGGTGACAAGACCAACTATAGTTTCAAGAGACCAGACGAAGAGAGAGTAATAAAGAATGCTTCATGTTAGGAGGAGGCTGAGACTTAAAACCTTAGAAGGGGTGAGGACCCTGCTGCCTAAGAAATCCTGTGATTTTTGAGGAGGTAGAAACATCTTCCCATGGTGGAAAAAATCATTTGGAAGAGGGTAGAAAAATTATAAAAGGAATCTTAAATCTTCTAAACTCTGTGTCATGTTGACCGTTTGCTTTCATTATTTTTAAAGAAAAAGGGATGTAGCTTTTTCATTTCTCACAAGGAGTTTGTGATTTCTCCCCTAAGAAAAGTTCAATAACTATTCATTCATTTGATAAATGTCTGTGGATTATCTATAATGTGGTAAGGAGAGACTTATAGGTCAACATAAGAGGTGAGGCAGAGTGTGATGGCTCACACCTATAATCTTAGCACTCTGGGAGGCTGAGGCCCACCTCAGGATCCCGTGAGCCTAGGAGTTTGAGACCAGCCTGGGCAAGACCCTGTCTCTACAAAAAACACAAAAATATATAAGAAGTAATGCAGCAAGACCCCATCTCTAAAAAAAAAAAAAAAAGTAAGAAGTAATATAGCTATGATTGTTAATGATTACATTAGGTGCTATAATTTGTAGTTGTATTTAGATAAAAGTTATTATTGCATTGACTCATTCTGCTGTTTGATGTTTACTTTGCAACACCACATCCAGAAAGCTTTACATTAATAATCCCATTCAATCCTCTCAGCAGCTTTATGAGATCAGATTTTACTTTTAAAATAAATGTATTATGTGTATTTGAGATTTACAACATGATGTTCTGGGCCACATATAGATAGTAAAATGGTTACTATAGTGAAGCAGATTAACATGTCAATTTCTATTTGTGTGTATTTTGTGTAGTTGAGGAAACCAATGTTCAGAAGGATTAAGAACCTGCCCAAGGAAATATAGCCAGTAGGTGAAAGGGGTGGGGCCTGGAGGATAAGATACTGGGGCCGAGGAGTCCACAGTCCTCATCAGAAGGTTGATGGTGATTTTTCAATAGAAGAAAACAGAGTAAGGAGAATATTTGGAGTAAGGGAAAGAGTTGGAGTAAAGGAAAGAGAGAGGATAGAGACAAAGATTTGAACAGAACCTATTTTCCATCACTTTTTCATTCCATAAACATTTATTAAGCAACTACCATGACACAAAAGATAGTGGATGGCAGGGGTTCAGGAGTGGGGTAATGGTAGTCCTTGAAGAGGGGATATCTGGGGCAGAGGACTTAACAAAGTGAAGACAGAGCTATTTAGATACTTGGAGGGATGGTGCTCCAGGCAATGAGAATAGAAAGTGCAAAGGCCCTGAGGCAGGAGTGAGTTTGAGAAGCAGCAAAGAAGGCCAAGCTCATGCCTGTGATAGCCTGAGCTCATAAGTTCAAGACCAGATTGAGCAAAAGTTTAACCCTCATCTCTAAGAAAAAGAAAGCCTACTAGGCAGGCTGAGGCAAGAGAATCGCTTGAGTCCAAGAGTTTGAGGTTGCTGTGAGCTATGATGCCCCAGCACTCTACTGGGGGCAAAAAAGTGAGACTCTGTCTCAAAAAAAAAAAAAAGAGAGAAAGAGAAGCAGCAAAGAAATCAGAATAGATGAAATAGAGAACATGAGGGCAAAGGACAAAGAAATAGTAGATACTTGTAGAACCAAAGAGGTTTTTTTGGTTGTTGTTGTTGTTGTTCTTTTGTTTTGTTTTAGAGACAAGTTCTCACTTTGTCACCCAGGGTGGGGTACAATGGTATCATTATAGTTCATTGAAGCATTAAATTCCTGGGCTAATGTGATCCTTCTGCCTCAGCCGCCCCCCTAACTAGGACTACAGGCCCACATCACTGCACCAGCCAACTTTTTCTCTATATTTTTAGAGATGAAGTCTCACTATGTTGCCCAGGCTGACATTGAAATCCTGGGCTCACATGATTCTCCTACTTCAGCTTCCTAAATAGCTGAAACAACAGGTGGACACCACAGCACCTGACTAGAGGTCTAATCCTCATTTTTCACAACCTCCTTCTACCTGCTGCATGGAAAGAAGACTGTTAGGTGCATGGGGAGGAAAGCAGAGAGGCTGATAGGCTAATGTGATGTGATGATGACGAGAAAGATAATGGTGGCCAGACTAGGGAGGTGGTGAGAAATGGTCAATCCGTGGGTAGATTTTAAAAACCTGGAAAAATTTTCTGCTTCTTAGAGAGAGGGAGAGAGAAGGGGTTGGGAAGAGAGAGAGAGAAAGAGAGGGAGAGAGAAACAAAAAAGAGAGAAAGAGCAAGAAAGAGATCTGGAGAAAGAGAGATTAGTCATAAGGAACTGACTTGTGTGATTAGAGACTAAGAAGTCCCAAGACTTGTAGTGAGGAAGCTGAAGACCCAGAAAGGTGATGGTGTAAGTTCTAGTTCAAGGCAGATATCCCAGCTCAAATTGTCAAACAGGCAAAATTCTCTATTCCTCACCCCCTCAACCATTTTGTTCAATTCAGGTCTTAAATTGATTGTGTGAGAA